AGTTGTGTTATAGATAAAAATCATACTTTGAAAAAATATAGAACTTTGGATAACTATCAGAAATTTCAAATTTGAGAAGAAGTTAAATTGTTTACAACTATCAGGTTTTGGTAAAAAACTTGATTGAAATAAACACTGCAATTCTAGACTCTACTTCCAATAAAGAACTTCCTCTTGAGTTATAGAATATTGGTCAGTGCTGGGCAGTTATAAAAATTGACGAAGGGTGCTGACAATGATTTCTACAACCCAAACAGCCAGAAAAAACATGCCATCAACTGTGCACGTGGTTGAGCATGTAGTTGGTTGCTAGCCTCTTGTTTCATTTGGGCACTTGGCAAGCTCCTTCATGAATTTTGTATTTTGCAAGAAATTTTAAAATGAGAACTTTTTAAGCTGTATATTGGTCTATTGGGTTTTTAGGAATTACTCTGTGGTTACAAAAAAACAGAACAAGAAATACAGTTCATCACTATGTTACAGAGATAATTTTAACATTTTTGTCAAACGTCACAGAGTTTTTGAGGGGGGTGTTGAGGACCTTTTGCTCAATCAAGCACCTCTCCTTACAGGATCTGAGAGAACTTACCAAAACAGGTGAATTTAAATTGATTCCAAGTGATTCAGCAACTGACTCTAGTTGAAAAATGATGTCATCAACGGATGGTCTTTCCTCTGGATTGGTTTGTAACATCATATCTTAAGAAAAATGGTAATTTAGCGACATTTGTTATGTGTTAGTGTACCATTTGTTAGCAAAGAAAAGCTAGCCAAATGTCAGTGAGGTAATAAGAAGACAATAAGGGAAACATCACTACCAAGATTTCATATCTTGAAATTTTTTCAATGAGCAGTGTGGGATCAATGAGTCTCAGATATCAATGAAGTTTGGTAGACTAGTCAAAATCAATGCTAAAAAGGATACTGAAAATTTTGATGGCTTTATAAGGTCTACTGAAGCACTCCAATATGCAAAATCCTGTTTCCCTTTTTCACCCCCTGGACCTCAAGTATTTCCACCCCTCCCCCAAAAAAATTGAAAGCAAATTTGCATTTTCAAACCTATAAAACTATGCTGCTCTACCCATTCATGATGGCGAAGAAGGGATTCTGAAAGTATTGACCAATTTTGATCAGCGATCATTTTGTACAAACAACAATCAAAACAGAAGCATTTGTGACATCTTCTAGTTTTAAAGGTGAACTGACACGCAAAACTATTTTTTGATATAATGCAGAAAAGGATGCATGGAATCTTAATTTCAAAATTTGGGTTAATTATTATTGTCCGTTTTGACGCAATTCCGCTCTAAATGTCATGAAATTATCGTCAAATGTTCGACCATTGTCGGCATTTCATGTGACCCAGTGTGTGTGACGTCATAAAAAACCATGTTTTTATTCCTTGAATGGGAATCACCACACGGACTGGACAGTTTAGTTCATCTTGTTCAGTTACTATTCGAGGAGATATATGTAGCCTTTGATCCAAGATGCATGAAAATTCAAGGCTAATGAAATGTATGAAGGATATGTGCTGCCTGGTACTACGTTATGTTACGAGGAAATTTAAGTTTGGAAGGAATAGACACTTTTAGCTGCTCAAAGAAATTCTCAATTCTGAAGTCAATCATGCGGACGAATGTGGCAAATGTAAGAATCTTTTCATTTTATAATGAATCTAGCTTTTTTTTCGAATAAATTCAAAATATTATTACTTCGATAGATTATTTCTACATCCATATAAATCATGAACGTTATCTTATTTTGGGTTTGCAAACTCATCACTTCACCCGTGTTACAGGAGTGCAGCGGCCTGGGAGTTGAAAATTTTACCAAGTTGTTTTCCTGCAAATAGCGATTTGATCGTAACAGGTTTTTAACCCTTGAAAATCTTTCATGTGATTGAATAGAAAATATGCTGAAAATGAGTGACTTGAATTCGACAGGCTTTACTGCGTATATTGAAGTTAACCTGGATCAAAGACCAAGATTAACTTTGTTTTGGGGGGTGGCAGCCCTGATAGATCAGTCTAACAGCAGCAGTATTTAACAAAATAAAAGTATTTTACTTGGGTTTCCAGAAAATAAAAAATCCTGCCAATAAATTTATCGCTACCATTATATGATATGTTGGCCCCCCACACACTGGGTCCTGCGAGAGGGGGGCCTTAAACATGTTGAAAAATACGATATTCTTGCAAATCTTATCATGAAAGGTTTGTAAAGGAGTCATAATCTGTTTTCCAACCAGGTTGTCAAAATGGAGCCAAAACCTACTCAATAAATGTATCGATGTTCACCTGCAAAGTCATAAAAGTACGGCCTTCCATACTGTCGTGTTGCTCAATTGATGTGAACATGGTGTTTGTGACATGACGATTATGCAGAAGGCTCGGGCAAACTCGTCCGTGCTCGGAAAATGTTTGGTGGCTAACTTTGACGCTCAATAACTCGAAAACTGTATTGAATATTAAAAAATAATAATGTATCAGGTAATTATGCTTGATATGCTTTCATTTGAGATCAAGTTAATTTTGCGTGTCAGTTCACCTTTAAAACAGAAATTTCTGAAATGTAATTGAAAGCTTTTTGAATTTATATTGATAAAACATCAAAATTACACTATAGTTACATTGACCATGTTTAGACATTGCTAAATATTTGAGCACTCATAAAAACAAGACTCACCGATAAGTGGCTGGAGATCTGAGACTTTTCTGGGGTCTTCTGGGATAGTATATTTGGCATTAAGAATTTTCAGTTTGGCAGAGTCAGCAAAGGGATGCTCCATATAGCAAAGGTAATACAAAATACAGCCCAAGGCCTACAACAAAAAAAGGATGTTAACATTTTAAAATGTAATAAACTTTTTAAAAAAGATAAATCATCAAATTCTATTATAAGCAGAATGAAATATACAAATACAAATATGATTTCTTCCTTCTTTAAATCTAATACCTGTTATACTAGAACAAAAGGTCTACTTTTGTTAACAAGTACCAGCAATTTTGAAGCAAAACTATCAAGAACGAGGGCACTTCAACCCACAAAAACATGGCGATGTTAACATTTTTAAATGCAAATAAGGCTTAAAGTGAAAATTGTGACATTTGGATAAGCATGAAACTTTGAGCATGCAACTCAGAGCCATCCTGTTATACAGAGCAAATTGTTATATATACATCTGTAAATTGAATATAAACTTTTGTAGATATAGCAAATCATAGCAAACAAGATGAAAATGTCAATTTACCCAAACATCAGCCTTCGTTGTGATTGGATGATTACTGTAAAGGTCTACCATTTCAGGGGCCCTGTACATTGGAGTCGTATTCTTCTGAATCTGAAATGCAAAACAAGAACATTATAAATAATAATCTCCAAAGGACAACATTATATGATTAGCAATCATGGCAGAAATTCATAATCAATGTTGTAACAGAAATAAAACAAAAAAGTTCTACTGATTAGAAGCCAAATTGTAGACTTAACTTGAGTTTTTGAACATAATTTAGTTTATCATGATAAAGCTTGCTTAGCTGTGAAAAGCTTTATCTAATTACTGACCTTCTTGTTTATTATAATGCCAAAAACCATGCATGACATTAACACTTTTAAGCCAATCAGTGTGCCAGAACAGATACCAATTTACAGAGACACTGACAAATCTGTAATGACCTCATAAAAAATGCTCTATTCAATAGACATGCTCATTAAAAATGCTACAAAAATATTTATGCAGAACGTTTTCAGATTGCCAGCTATTCCTAATTGGGCATTGTACCTCATCTTCAGCCAGGTTTCTTTGCAATGCAGTCCAGCTTGAGTCTGGGTATAGCATATCTGTTGTCGAGCTTCCAAAGTCACATAGCTTCATCATCCCTCTGGCACTGAACAGGAGGTTTTCAATCTGCAAAAGGAAATAAGCATCCTAGAAAATTTGGGTCACTACATGTCAAATTGAAAATAGTAAGAATAATAGCAAGGGCATAGACGCAGTTCAATTTTTAGGGGGACTAAAGGCAATACCTTTTCTAAAAATCTGACATAGTTGCAAAAAATTTATTCTCTAGGGGTGGGGGCTTGGTCTTTCTAGCCACTACCTCCCTGCTTAGCACAGACAAGCAAGCATTCCAGCTTTGTAAATCATTCCAAAATGGCCACTAATAGGTACCACAAAAAAAATTTCAAGGAAAATACAAGGCCGCTTGTCACCACTGTCAAGTCAGATATACATCAATAACCTATATTCCCATAACCCACACCTGATGTTGTATTTTGCTTGTAAGGGAAACAACATCATAAGTACACCTTGCTTTGTAAAGTAATGCATTACTACAAAATGGTCACACAAAATCTGTTCAATGAGCCTGTTATGATCTTACATATAAAGGCAGGATCATTCTTAAAGGCAGTCTGGCCCCATTCTCACTTGATAGATGCTTTTATAAAAATTCAAGTAATATAACTTGATGCTCATTGTTTTACAAAATCGCTCACCCTGGTTGGATTTCTCTATCAAAATGTCATACTTGTGTCCTTTCAAGGCCATGAGAAATCAATATAAGTAATAGGGGGTAGCCTACTCAAATGAATGGAAAAGCTTCTGAAGGGAAAACAACAATTGATGACATAATGAGGATAATTCCTTCAAACTGTTGCTCATTTTAACTCTTCACAATAACATAAATGATCTCATCTGTCAAAAACCTTGAACACAATGAGAACACGCAGAGTATTTATTCAATTGTGTCCCAAGGTCTTCTTGGGATATAGGATTTCAAGATGCAAGTCGGATAATCACTAATTCCAGATGATTAAAAATAAAAAGATATGGAGGTGGGAACCAACAGAAATAAACAATAAAGTTTATTTCTAAATCACAAATTACAAACAAAAACACAAAATTTTCTTAAAATAGGAGTGAAACTTTGGCTGAATGTTTGATGCCTCACATTTTCCAGAAGCCATTTCAAAATTGTTCAATGTGAGAAAATCACATTGTTTACTGGCTGGATAATCAAAGTCAGGAAAAACGGTGGGTCAGATAATTGAATAATTACGGTATATAAGTAGTCATTAACACTTTCCTTCTAGAAAAAAACTTACCTTTAGATCTCTATGAATTATTGGTTGAGGTTGCTTGTGCATGTGGGCAACAGCCATACATGTTTGAGCAAACACTTTCAACAGTTCTGGAAGTGCTAATGGTGTAGGATGTCTTTCCAAAAGTAAGTTGATCAATTGGCCACCTAAAAAGCACATAATGTGCATAGGTTTTATCATAACCATATTCATTTTCACATTTTAATGTAATTAGATAATGGAAAAGATTGTGATAGTGGACATAAATATGTAACCTTGCAATCATAAAGCAAACCATTGGGAACAAGTGTTTTGGGTTCTGTAATGCAAAAAGTTTGCTCTAGACTTTCTGGCCGTTTCCTAAAATTATACTTATGGTTGTTTCCTTAAGCTGATGCTGGAATAACAATAAACATGCTGGATAGGCCACATTCACAAACAAAAAATCCAAGCATACCATACCTATCAAATATAAACAAGCTGCAAATATTGTTTTTCAAGCTATCACAGTAAATTAACTTACTAACTAAAAAGAAATAGCTTTTTTTAGGAATTGGGTATCAAGATTGCATTTTTTATAATTTCATAAAAATTTGCTGCTTTCTTTTTCTGGTCACAAAGTGCACAGTTATAAGACCCAATAAAGTCAAGTTCATTATTTTCCTAAGCTCCCTTATAAAAGTTGGTTCCAATCATGAGGCATAAAAGTGAAGATAAGTCAAATAAACTTAATAACTCTTTACAGCAAATAAATTGGTAAGGAAAGTTTATATTTACAAACGTACGCTCACTAAAGAATAATCAGGCCCTGCTTAGAGCAAAAAACAGGCAACTGCCAAACTGAGCACAGGGGAGGATGATTCAGTCTGATATACACCCAGGATGATATTCTTTATTGCAGGAGACCGATTATCTTTAAACAGAGTAACCACTGGGCAATCAATTTCTTAACAAAGGGCACCACTATATCGCTGACCAAAAATAAACAAAGATTTTTCAAACAATAAAAGTTGAAATGGTGAGTCTAATGAACAATGATTTCAGATGTAGTATTTCATTTGGAAACAAATGAAACATAGTCAAATCTCTAAAGAGATGCTGACAGTAAACAACAGTGATACATCACTTTACATACATTCAGCAGTTAACAGAATCACAGTAGCAAAACTGCACATTGGCAAACAACAATGATTAATCTTGGATTAAGATAAAAACAGATACAGCAAGACAACTGACAACACAATACAATTCTGGAGATTAAAGAAAGAGTTGCTGGTCTCCCACCATTGTCCATCTGTAGTGTACCACTGACTTTCTATGTGAATAATCGAGCGTGTTCCACCCTATAGCTATTGTGTTTTATTTGTAGTAAAAATAGTTTGATTATTGAGGTTTGTTTGATCATTGCTCAATGAATCTAATTTTACACTTGCTGCTATAATATGGGGTTAGTAAGGGTAGCTGCTCTTCTTAATGTACTCAAAAATCTTTATATGTGTTGAGGTGCTTGACGGAGCTTGAGCACCTTTTCTGCAAGGCCTGGATACCAAACCAAATCAGGAAAAAAGCACAATAGCATTGATGGATAGATTCAAAATTTAGAGTAAAAGTTTTATGAGCATGATAACTTTCAATAGATTGATCTGTTAAATTGTTAACAAACCTGAACATAGTTCGGTGAGGATTAGGAATTCTGTCATTCCATGAGACATTTGATCATTTCCAGAAGATGCAACTGCTACAAACTTTATGATGTTTTTATGTCCTTTGAGTTTTTTCTTACATCAGGTTAAGGTTATTTTGAAGATGAGTGGAATAAGACAATTTTATAAATAAAATAACGAAATTGTGATTCATCTGTGATAACTTTCGTATAGCTGGATGTAATGGCAATGTTTACACAGGTTCAAAATGGAACCATTCCTTATGGCCACGGATAGAACTTATGTTGCAACAGGATTGGTAAACGGTAACATTTTGAATTTTTTGGAACCACATTGCATAGCAGAAAATATCTGCAGGGCAGGCTTTTCATCAAAGGCTTCTTGTCTTTTTTTTTGTAAAACTACAATGACTACTAGTTTATGTTAAGTATTCTGAACGATTCATGTAAGCATCTTGGAAAACTTGCACTAAGAGCTGGTGTACACAAAAGCAGAATAAAACAGTATTGTCTGGATTGAGTCCCAAATTGGCGGAGACCCAATCCAGATCCAAACAATTAGCGACAAACAAAGCCAAATTGTGTGATGTTTAAACCAGTCAAGCCAAACATCCCATTTCTTGTTTCACAGATTGGACTTAGAGGGCTAAAAGTTTTGGCCAAGTATGCTGAAACAAAGAAAAAGGTGATTCATTTGGTTGTTTTTGGTGCATACTTGGCATTGTTACAGGGTTCACATGTGGCATTCTCATATGCATCATATGCAGTCCAAGGATTCCCATAAGCAGTCCCAGGATTAGTGTATAAAACATTGTGTAAGATCCGTTCACAGCAGATTAATAGTAAATGCATTGATGTTTGGATAGTAAATGCACAGATACCCGAAAGAATTATCTTACTTCAATGAACATTGCACATTTCAGATGCTAGTTTTTCTTAATCATTCAAATTAGCTGAAAGGATACAAGATAACTGACTTCCTGCATTATCTCCTGTTTTATTGTGTCATCTGGTGCCATTAGTCGCTGGAGAAAAATAAAAATCATCCATAATTAGACATTTTTGACTTAATGCAACCAGTAGGCAAAAAACAGCTTTTTAACCAAATTTGATCATTATATTAAACAAACAAACTTATATAATAAAATACAGAAAATTGTTTACAACTGCACTTCATTCTTTGGTCTGGGCTGTGGCACAAAACTTCTTACAAAAAGCTTCTTTCTTCACACTGTCTTGATCATAAAACAAACACTAGACGATCATGCTTCAGTGTAGCATGATACAAAAAAGAATCTTGTTTCTTACAAAGCTTTACAGAATCTTGATTATACTCTGGTAATCAGGGGGAGACATATGGTCAAATAATAGGGGGCAAACCTATTTTTTTGTCAAGATTATGTTAAAATTTTCCATTGTTTTAGAGCAAAACATCATTGTCCTCCAAAGTATTGGGGGGCCAATTGCCCTGCTCGCCCCCTCACCCACCCCAGCTGTCTGCCACTGCTGGTAATCAAACAATGCTGCATTAACAAGAAATGATAATGGCATTTATGATTGTTTCTAGGAGTTTGTAAGGTGTTCATTTTACAAATATTTGCATTAATGTTTCTGAAAAATAATACTAAATTGGAAAGGTAAAGAGAAACATTATTTGCTTATAAACTGTTGCTTTTCTGAGCCCAACCCTCTGAGCCAAAAACTTAATTTGATTATTTCAATCTAATATGACATATTTAGCATGGAATTTACATGAAAAAATAAAAAATAAAGAAAACTTTAGTGCAAACGACTTTGTGCTAAATTCAGAAAAATAAATGGAATTATTTAATATATATATAATTAGAAAGTATATTGTTACCCAATATATTCTTTTCTTTAGATAATCTGTGTATAATCTATATACAATCCATTACTTGTGTTAAGGAAGAGCGCTATTCAAATGTTTTTGACAAAGAAAATTATGAAGCTTTTACATATGCAGTAACAGATTTTACTTGCAAGTTCTTTTCTCCTGGTATAGGTTTTAAAATCATAAACCTCAATATTCTGAGAGTTAAGACTAAACAAACAATAACATTTTCCTAGCTTGAATGTATACACAAATGAGAAAATCTCATAGCACAGTCATGGCCATTCAAAGTAAGTTAAATCAGCCCTTTTCTGAGACTACTGACCAGGGGCGGACACTTGATCAAATATTGGGGGGGGGGAAAGCATATTGTTTTAATAAGATGACGTCACATTTCCCATTGTTTTAGAACAAAAGACTATCTAAAGTATCGCCCTCTAAAGTATTGGGGTCGCTCCCCCTGGCCCCCCCCAAGTGTCCGCCACTGCTGCTTACTTTTTTTGGCAAAGATTATTTGATCTCATTCAACATTTAAGCCAATATTCTAAATGACCTTGTTCTTTTACTGGGTCAATTCATCTGCTATATCTTTCTCTCAATTGAAATGACTTCAAAGCTTAGATGACAAGTTAGGGTATCTGTTTTGCTAATCTGAATTTTGTGCAAAGTCTTTGGTGTGCCTCAAGCCTTACTAAGAACAGAGAACAGTCATGACAATTACAGAAATCATGTGGGCATGATTTTGTAATGCTATCCCTGTCACTGTAATAAAGGGTGTTTATCTTAGATGAAACAATGTATTGTAAAGGGCTAAGTTGCATGTGCACCCTTTGCACCCCCTTTGCTTCCTCAAGAAGTTCAGTTTATCCCACTTCTCATTCTGGCTATGAGCTACCACCTGTACAGTAAACATTCTTAGGACTTGTTTAAACAATCAACGTTTTCATTCTTATTGTACTTTGTTTCCCAATTGAAACAAAATTTTTGTCTGTTTACATGTTATTCATTCCATTCCATTTTGGATTTGGGACTCTGTTTACACGAGAACGCTATACTGCAGGGGGTTTGCCTGTTTTATTGTCTCTGCACAGCCAGCGTTTTCATTTGTATTGGATTCTGTTGCTTACACAAGCAAAGAGATTTATTGGATTGGTTTCATCCCACATTAAAGTGTTTTCATTTTGAAAGGTGAAAACAGTATAAGCCATATCAGATTGGATAGTTTTCATGTAAAAAGAATCACTTCCCCATTTTCACTTCTATCTGTCTACAGAGAGACAAATTTTTGCTTTTGTGTGTTTGCACTGCTCACAGAAACAGAGTAAAAAATATGTGTTTTGTGGTTTTTACACACTGCCTCCGTTTCTCTAAATTTGTTTGCAGACTTTTGAAAAACCTCAATTTCTGTGCATAAATATTGAGCCAGTGAGTTTTCAAAAACCCCTATTTTGTGGAAACTAACTTTAGATAGCATTTCAAAAACCTCCATTTTTATGTCACTTTTGTTTTTATAATAAAATTTTATACATAGGCACATGTGTAAATCAGGAATAAGTTTTTTATGATCACTAAAATTGAGGCAAGTGGCTCAGAGCTCACCTGGCAAAGAAAACAAAGAATAGCGCTTAATATAGCAATCCTGGCTGGCAAGTGATATAAAAATCAAATACCTTCAAAGCATATTCCTTCCCAGAGGAAGTGTCCTGTGCGGCAAATACAAAACCATATCCACCTAGAAAATAAGTAAATTTTAACTGAAGTGAAGAAATTCAGAGATAAACAAAGATTATGATCTAGAGCAAATTTGTTGACACAAGTTGTTTGTGCAAAAGTTCCAAAGACATTAAGAGATAATAAATCTCACTCTTCTGCTGCCATGTGAAGAAAACACAAGACTTCATAGTCTACATGCAAACTATATCTCTATGATTTTCAAAGTGGTTTGATGCTTCAATCCCTAAGCCAATCTGAAGTAAAAAAGAGCTTTACGCTTAGAGTGTTGTGTGTAGTGACTAAGAAGACGATCTTGAGGAACTTTGAAATGATTATACTATGGTTTAGATAATCCAGATGTTTTTACGGTTGTTATTTATCAGTTAGTAATTAATAGCTCTACATAGTTCCTTCGGACGACAATTCAAATTTTGTCCCAACAAAAAATGTATCAAGCTTTTTAGATGTCTATATAAGGATAAGAAATTCCAAGATTATGCAATTTTCTTGTGAAAACAAGGCTTTTGGCCCCCCTTAACAGACTATAATTCAATTTTAAGCATTTACAGGCAAGAAATATTTTTAATTAACTTTAAGACTTCCACTTCTATCCATTTGAACTGTTTTTTCATTGACTACTTTCATACACCCAAAAACAATACTTCAAAAATGAAAAAGAGGCTGATGGCCCCCCAAAATCCCTGTATAACATTGATTTTCAAAATCAGCATCCTCGAATTGACCAAAAGCACTTGGTCCCATAAATTTTGCTCTCCGGCAACTATTCCCCTACTCTCTGACTGGTCTAATAGCTCCTGTACTTCCAGTATGCAGTTCATGTATTTGGCTTCAAAGTCTTTTTGGTGTAGCATTATTCCTTTTTGGTGGTGTAGATCTCAAAAACCCCCCAAATCCATTTGAAAGCATGCATACAAAATCTGTGGTCTGTTGACAAACCCACCTAACCCTACATATGTGGGTTCCTATATCCCACCTAAAACAACCCCTTACTATAACCAAATTGATAGTTGTAGGTCAAAAAGAAAGGATTGACTCCTCATCAGATGCAATACATGGCTTTACCTCTTCCAGTAAAGACCATTTTTAATTAAATTAAGCATTTCATAATCATAAATAAATTACATTTTTCAGAAATTACAGGAATTGCAGGGTAGGATGTTACAGTTTCAAAGTAATAATCAAAGAGATATTCTGCTTTCATTTGTTTGGGAATAAGCAAGGCAATAAATAAACTGTTCCACAGCAATAAATAAACTGTTGTATAATTCGTCATCTATGTTGAGATATCTTTTGTAATTTGTTATTAGTTAATTGTAATGTTTGTTTAAAAGATCATTTCATGTGGTGGAATTTTGAAATCAAAACTTATCTGGAACTGGAATAAACATGTATCTCCTTGCCCTTGAAAAAACTTATCACAGGATCTGAAGATTGCATACGTTTGAATAAAAGTTTTATTTTTAAATATGTAGTGGTAAGGTGGATAAGGGAAAAGTTTTTGCTTACCTTCTCCAAGGACACGTTTAATCCTCAATTTGTGTTGTCCCAGTTCGACGTACTGCCCAACAAAATCGTTGCCACGTCCACTGCCTGAATTCCCTCCAAATATGTTCCGAAACATTTTGTCGCAAATACTCTTAACAAATTAGAAGCTTCCTGTTTAAAAACTTAGCACATGTGCAGCTCGAATTGCAGTGACATGCGAGCCCAGTTGTTGAATTATGATTAGGCCGCTAAACAAATGTTCAAATTCACCTATCTTTGAACAAATGATTAATTTAAAAAATGCTACATTTACGAAAAATAATCAAATTGGGTATTACGTAGCATTTCTCCAGTGTAGCTAATGTAGCAGTCACGAAAAACCACACAGTTTCATGATATCGCCCACTTCAGTGCTACGAGGCACTCACCGCCATTAACGACGGCAGCCAAAAATTGCTGGTACCCAGTCTTCTGGTCGTCTTCGTTTGGACCCGTGACCCGTAAGACATTTTGCACGTCCCCCTTTCAGTATCAAGATCGAATCCACCCGCCCTTTCACGCGGCCCATGCATTCATTTTTTTAATTTTCCGAATAATAGAACAAATAATTTCTAATTATTTTCAAAGAAGCAAATTCAAGCCAATTGTACTTATGTAATTGTTTATTGGAACAATTGCTAATGACGATGGAAATATAAAATGCTGAATATCTTATTTTCTACCAATCCTGTATGCTTTTTTGCATTTAGTTTTGTGTACCTTATAGCTTTCCCTTTTTCTCTAAAACTCCCAGACCGTCGACCTCTTCTGCTCAATCGAGCCTTTGGGGGTTTCAGGGGAACATATCTGTCACTGTTGGGATGTGGGGGTGAAAATGAAAACTCTTGATGAAAAATTCATTCTAAAAAAGATTATCTATGGATGCTTTATCGACAAATTTCCAAACTGATCAATATTGCAGATAAATAGCTTTTTGTGAATGACATAGGAAGCTGAAATAAGTTATTGCAATAAATTTCAGCCCTTGTGTTATGTCACTATCTATTCTGTGGTTTTGGTGTCAAGCTATTGTTGATGACCATTATTTATGTAAGCAGAGCGGTGTCAAGTCTCTGACAGTGTGCAAGGGGCGAATCGTCCCAATTTTTTTATCCTCCCCTTAAGTATATCAAAAACAAATTGTAAGCAATGAACCGTATAAGTCATCGCTAATCTCGATAAATCCACATAAAACGCATCTTCATCACACTAAACTTGCCACCAAAGACCGAGATACAACTTTTTGTTTGAAGGGGGAGCAGCCCTGAATTAGTAAAAACGGCCATATTTTACACATTAAAAGTATTTCACTTATTATACTTCAGTTTATTTGGGGGGCCGGTGTCTCATTCCTCGCTTGCCATAAGATATGTATACAACATAATAGCCCCATAATAAGTTGCCTGCTGATAGCAATAAAGCATGATACTCAGTTGCATCAATGCACGGTAAAAACATGACATTTGATACATCTCCCTCATCATTCTAGTTTCTTTCTCTATTCTTGAAGTCACCATCAGTGCCGTATGATTTTTGCTGGTAACTTCAATTCGAAAACGAAGTTCACAAGAAAATGAAATAAATTGATCGAAAAATGAGCTCATTGCTTGCTGGATTGAAAATGTGCATAAAGTCAGGGGGTGAGGGGGCTATATCCCTTCCCCTCAACCATTTCCAAATATACCTACAACCATACAAGAAATCGTCCTGCCTTTGGTTCTTAGCATGTGTAGTCCCCCCCCCCCCCAAAAAAAATGTTTAAGCCCCATAAATCCGTACTATGCTCCGCAGTCTTTGGCCCAAATATCTAAGCAGGAACACTGATAATAAAGCCAATAATGAAGCAACGTTGTGAAAATGAATTGATATTTTACAAATTGCTATATTGAATGGTTCTAACGAATCACATTACTTTGTTTCCTTTAAAAATTTACAAGGAGCCTAAATATCAACGCACAACTTACAACAAACAGACACTAATACATGAACATACCATTTTTATTTTAAAATATTTAATACAATTTTTGCACATTTGCTACAGGCAAAATAATTTTCACCTATTATGCAAAAGTTGACCAAAGAAATATGTTAAGAAATACTCTACTTGAATTACAATATTCCATTGAAACTGTAAACATATAAACATTAACAGGACACACAGGGCTACAAAACAAGAATAATTATAATATCAAATCCGCGACATAAATTTCAAGATTTCAAAAAATTGCATAACTGGATAGAAAATCCTATGTTTTCTAATATTACAGGCTTGCATTCTTAAATGAAGGAAAGAGTTCTGTGGTGAAATATCTATTTCAGATACAACCTTGTACCCTACCAACTTGGGTCTACATAATTAAAAAGCATTTGTAATATAAATATGCAAATCATTTTTAAAAGCATATCACAGCTTCAATTACATATCTGCCTGCAGACAACTCTATATTACAATAAAATTATACATTGTGGCAAAAGCTGCTTATACATAATCCACTGAAAATGAGGAATACTTCTAAGACACCTATTATTAGTCAACTCTCATTAAAACTAACAATCAACATTTGTGTCACATTTTGATATGCATTTGTATCTAAAGAAAGGGCACAGCAACCTTTTTCCTACAGACCAGATGCAAAAAACAAACAACACAAAATTGGCCTGGCAAAAGAGGCTGATCATCCCTGATACAGGGACTAGACAAATGAATCAGCTGACATGTAAGCAGATAAGATTCAACTCTTTATATCATACTTTTTTTATCTGATCGGATACATAGATGTAAACTAATGTCCATACATATCCTTGAAATACAATTTGATTTAATGTCCTATTCGGAATGGAAAGAAGGGTAAATGTTTCTTCATCTTTCAAAGCATCTCATAGACTGGAACTGTTAGCAACACTTTATGTGGCAGGTAGGTTCATCATTTTCAAAAATGATGGGACTAAACCCACAGTTCAATTTGTAAAATACATTCCTCTTGGAACCAGAATGCATTAGCTGCCAAAACCTGTAACAACCAGATCATATGGAACTGGTATGCTAAAATCATTTGATTCTGTCAATTAGGAAATCTTTTGTTGCCTTTTCAACATTACTCAACATCAGCAACAACTTGCATTCCTCTTTTGGCAAAACAGTTGCACAGTCTTAGAAGCTCATGAACTTTCTTACTAGGACGTGACTTTCTGCTGAGGTTGTATCTGCACGTCTACAAAAGAACAAACCATAGCTTAATAGCTTAGGAGTTCTAAAAAAATGCATGAAAATATATTTAAAAATATTATTGCTCACTTTGAATATTTTTATTAACTATTTACAGGGTCAATCTATATAATAAAAAAAAACTAAATTTTCGTACCTTAATGAAAACACAATTAAGACTCTCTCCATCATCCTCATGTGCCGACTTGAGACCAACACTCTCCGCTAGCTTCTTGACATCACTGACCTGAAATTCAGAAACATTTACACAAATGTCTGATAGATTTAGGAAAAAACTGGAATTGAGAATCAAACTGAAAATCATTTTGCCAGGCTTGGCAATTCTCTCGAAAAATAACTACACATTATGTCTCCCTCCAGATATTGTCACAATAAACCTATTATTTGCTTCTCTGTAGTAACAAAAGGTGCTGATTCTTTAGATCTGAGATAATTCTATCTCAGACACACTATGAGTCACACAACCTCTCTATTAGCTTTCAAGCTGAACACTGGCTTGGTTTTCATTTCATTATAAGCTAAACAATGTTCATCAACATCTTAATCTTTTGTTCATTCACAATATCATTTTTTGCCACAAGCTTGCTATTGTGAATGTTGTTCCTGTTAAAATCCAACAAATTGTGTTGCAAGCATTTTCAGAGTTAGCTATTTATCCTTCCACATACACATACAAAAACTTGGTTTTAAACATTGAAAATGTCCTTTCTAACTTGCATTGTATCTTACTAAGGTCTTCAAACAATTTTTGCATTTCAAAAATTGCATGTCTGACAGAAATCACAGATAGCGATTGTCCCCTGTCTCCAAGAATTCTTATAGCCAGCCTGGACTGCTCTGGAAAAGCACATATTGTATGTTACATCACATCTGTTATCCCTACTTTGGAACTTTTCAGCTTTCATGGCACACATTATAAATAAAGTTAAGCATTGGGTATTCTGTCTTTTACCTACTAAGCAAATTTTTTGAACACATTTGAATACATTACTGACAGGTAATATTAACATTTGACAAAAAAATGTGTTTATCTTTACCTTCACAATGGGAATGTTGTTTTCTCTGCAAAACGCTTCCATCATGAATAGGAGACCACCATCATCAAGACTTTCCAAACTGCCCTTCGATAAAATGCAAATTCCATCCGGGGAATTTTTGCTAAAAAGAGAGTGCATCCTCTTATACAATTTGAAACATGCCAATACCAAAGCACAAAAACACCTATGCCATGTTGCACACAATTTTAAATGTTTGAACTCTTGAGAAGGAGGAATGGATTTACCACAAGAGACAAGAGGGTATTTTTGAGCGTCATACTTTAGCAAGAGAAATCTAGATTTTATAAAGAGAAATCAGAATGTTTACCTTTCCAGTGCTTCAGCTGTTTCATAGAGTCCACAGGTAACTTTCCCCTTACATTTGGCTTCTACCAAAGCCGCATGTAAAATGCCTTGAACATCACTGAAAAAAACACCATTGTGTCAGTTTGATATGACTAGCTCCCAAAAAGAAGATATTGATGGATTTTTTTAAAAAAAAGCTCTGTCTAGAGGTCCAGATTCAAAAGGTTGCTTAAATAAGATATTACGTTGATTTACTTTATGCAGTACTTAAGATCTTGAATACAGTATTTTCGTCCCAGGTGACAGGTCATATACAATATATTACTGACAGTAGATCACAGACAAAATAAAGTTCCTTTGAGAAGAATTAGAGAAACGTTCATGCACAAGCAATGGTCTTTTTCACGTTTCGCCGCTTCAAATTCAAGGATCAAAGTACACTAGGTACATGAAGGGGAATCCCCTACGAAGAAAATTCAACCGGGCTCCAGAAATTACCAAACTTACAATAAATCTCCCAAAAATCTTGTAAAACACGCAAATTTAAAACAAAAAAACTCATCTATCTTTTCAAACAGTTCTGTAAAGCACTGGAACATCTGAAGACTGTAAATAAAACTGGGGCCTAACGTTCCTAGCCACAACACAACAACGCAACGTCCATAAAACGTTTGCGAACGGACATAACAAATGATGAATTTCAAAATACAAAAACTGTATATCGATTCTTCATGTGATATTTAATAAATATTAGTATTTACCATTGTGTACCTAATAAATATTAACAATTGTCGTATTCCCCAACATTTGGATATTTCTTTCCTAGCCGGCAAAAGAAGAGATGGACATTTTAGGCCTAGGCGGTTAGGAACCTAATGTAATGGTTGTTTTCCAAAGTTTGCAACACCATTGTTATCTAATTGAAAGGCAGCACAGCAATAGACTTTTAAAAAACAAACCATTTCTCTGTAACTTCTTGTTCTGGTTTCGTCATATTGTGAAACTCGGGTATGAATCACGTCCAAAGTTTTGACAACCAAGTGCACAGCTTCCAGCCAGCCATGCAGCTCTTTGCAAACCAGTGATGCAATCTTTGCCAGATCATCATTGCCAACACGGAACTAATCCGAATACGGTAACTGTAAGCCCATATTTGGATTTCGACCGAAGTTAATTGAATCTAGAAAACCAAGGAGACGTCGATTTGTGTACCTAACTGTTATGGTAACAATAAATGGCGGCAGGTTCGGAAAACAAAACAACGAGAAAGCATAAAATTGCCCTATTATGGAGATGGACTCCTTCAGAAAAACCCATTGTTTATATACAAACAATAATAATTAGATGAAGTTACAACTTGGGACCGAAAATCGCTGTTGTAAAATCTACGTAGCCTCAAGCAGACCATAAATGGGCATTGCCGGCCAAACGAAAGATTCTCATCGACCTCAACGATTGTTGTTCAATTGAATTTATTGTTCAATTTACACTCGATGTCTCGAGAAAGCTCAAAACTGTGATTCTTGTACTGTTGTCTAATAGTCTTATTAGAATAATAGGGGCTTTGTGGCGGTTTCCTCAATGGGCACATGGCTTTGATAGCTCTGTTTTGAGTTCTTTGCATGTGTCCATCAGCTAATCAAGTAAAACTATTGTTGTTTATCTTAACCTTTTTTGTATTGCTTTATCTCCAATTACTGATTGTAATTAAATAACTTTAGAATGACGTAACTTGTAATAAGCTTGATATACTGAAGAAAACTTTTGGGTTAAGTTGAGTTTTGAGTTTTAAACGTTTTTAATGGCATGGTCGTTGCGAGGCAGGCCTTGTTTGGGGAGGGGGCTGTGGACTACCAATTTACTCCATCAAAAGATATTTAACTTAAATTTTTAATTACTAACATATACCTCTGCAATACATTTTGTCAATCTAACACTATGGTATTATAATTCGCAACATCCATTTTTATTACAATAGCAGGCATTTCTAGCCTAGTTGTCAATTTATATCCCTCTTTTCATCATGGAATTCTTTTTGCACGTAAAAAAGATCTGGATCTGATAAAGAACTGCAGTTAATGCTTCTTCCAATCAAATTTAGAGAAATGGACACAAGGCACACTTTTACCTAAGGAGGGCCTGGTTTCTTGGGTTTAGTGCCAACAAAATCTTGAAAATATTAACGCTTAGTTTTGTTTACCTTCATATCATGGAAATATCATATGTAAGCAAAGGAGCAACTATCTTTGCCTGGTCCTTTATTGATTTTAAAACGTGAAGGTCTGTGAACTTCCTAAACTGCTTCTTCCACTGAGCAGCTTTTACCTGAAATTTTGCTATTTGAGATGCTATTTGTGGTTGACAACCCCCTGCACCCCTGTTGCGGTGGTTCAATTTACTCGATGAATTTTACTTTCCAAACAGGGAGAGGACAGTTACTTTATTTCCACATTTGTACCAAATGTCGCTATGAAATTGATGTAGTGAAAGCAAGAAGGTCATAGATCACAATCACTATTTATTCTATCACTTTGGGCTTTGTGGTGCAATACTTTGGAAAGGGAGTGTACACTAGATAAATAGAAGCATCGCAACACTTACAACAAAATAGCATCACTGCTGCCTTTTATTTTAACTTGCCAAAGATAAAATAGCAACAAAAAGTTACATAAAGGTTTTAACTTTTAGAGATGACTGCTTCGGTGGAACATTTTTGAAAATGTATAATGATAAAGTTATGAAGATAAAAAATGCCAACATTTTTATAATTTTTTGCTAGCTCTCCGCCATATCGAACATTGCATGCCAAAAACATAGCAGGATAGGAGGATAGGATTCTTTGCGCAGCGCAAAGATACTTTCGCACTTTGGGTTTGTCTGTCCAAAACATTTTAGATCCACACTATTTAAAAGCCTTGGTCATATTCTTTTGTACAGCAACCAGCAGGATTCTTCGACATATTTCGCCAATGTATCAATTTTGCTAAACAAAAAAGTAGAGGTATGATTTTAAAAGTAGAAAAGTATATTCTAAGAAGTTTCTTATTCTTTTTGTGATCAGTTTTGATAATATATTTTAAAATGATATACAATATTATTAAATATTGAAAATATTATACAGTATAATAAAAATGTTATAATATACAGTATGATTGATAGTAGGCTTTAATAAGCTTACATGTTAGCTTTAGTTCGTATACTTACTGTATTTATAAATAATCTACTTCATAATCTATAATAAATAATAAATAGTCTAATAAATAATAAATAATTATAATAAATAAATATAAATTATAATAAATTATAATTATAATAAATAATAAAAAAATAAATAATAAATAATTCATAATAAATAATCTAATAATATAAAAAATAATCAATATTAAACAATCTACTTCAGTAGTGATTTTCCGTCGTGATCTGAAATTGCATCTGTTCTCAACTAAGTACCAATTCTGAATACCTTGATAAGATAATTCTATCTTACATTGATCATTCGAATCACTAGAAGATTTCATAAATTGAATGATAAGTTTTTAGCTTAAGGGGTGCTCTCACCTCGATTAGTCTACCTACTGAGAGAGCTCCTCCTTAAGAAATTCCTCTCCATACGAAATTTTATGTACTCTTATTGTAAAATTTGTCATTTGTTGTCATCTGTTGTAATTTGTTATTCTAGTTAATTGTATGTATTTTAGAAATATTTTTGTATGTAGTGGAATTTTAAAATTAAACTGAACTGAACTGAACTGATAATAATAATTGAAGTAATATTAACATTATTAATGCAATTCTAATTTTGTAACCACTGTAAGTTTTGGCTTGGGTTTTATTCTCACATTAATTTGGCCTAAGGTAGAATCACATATCATTTGAGCATTCTGACCTTTAGTTGAGAGGATGGTTCAGTGATAAGGATCACAGGCTGCCTAACTGGGACACGCGCGAGGATGTCAACGTGATCAGTTTGTGGGTAATTTTATTGACATTTCGTGACCTTTTCCGTTATAGCCATATTTGATAATATGTTGATGTTTTGTTTTGTTGGTAGTTTTTAAGCATGCTCCACGTCTTGCAGTCAGTTAGGGCGTAACGTAGTTTTAGAGAAAGACCTTGCCGATTAATTAAAGAGACGTAATTTTAGCAGTGGCGTAGCGTGAGAACAGAACTTAGGCATGCGGTAACATAAATTATACGGCTATGTTGAATGAATGTAATCGCAATTTCAGCTTCTTAAAAATACAAGCGGTAATTAATGATAATCGTGATAGCAAATTTTGATTTTCAAAGTAACAAATCATTTGTACTCTAATTCTAATCAATCAAGGTGTCTATTCTTTGCATCAGAGACTCCGACAGAGGTTGGAAAGTGAAGGGCGGCCAAGGGAAAAATTATCACCCATGCGAGAGTTTTTGAAAAAGCTCAATTGTTAAGCAATAATTTTCAGAATAACTCCTAGTGCTAAAACTGCTTCGCAAAAGATTTTTTTCTTATTCATATTCCTCAAGAAAAGGCATCACCCAATGCCCACCTAATGTAAGAATTTTTTATGCTATAATGAAGCTGGGGATTCCCGCAAGGAGGAGCTCTCCACATTGCGAAATTGTTAACACGCTGCAGGAGCAACAGTTTCTGCTCATTTTTTTACTCTCATAGTTAACGAAGATGAAAATAGTGAGCTGAGAGAGTTGTTAGAATTGAAGATGCTTCCATGTGTAAAGTTTCAGAAAGTTAGTCCCGGCAAATCATCATGTATTTGGCAAGGCTTGCGCTCAGGTCTACCGCATGCCCTGGTCCGTAAATTCTGACTATACTGGCAAGCCTTTTGACTTGAATTACGGAATGCGGATCATGACCAATAGACTCTGACCCCACTTTGACGAAACTTTTTCTCTTTTCAACAGTCACAAAGTAAAGAAAGGAAAATAATTGGATTTGAAATGATGTATCACGCAAATAATATTCGCAAAAAGCAGCTTATAGGTAGAAAAATGTTGTGGATTATCAAATATTTGGGAAGGCTTGCGCTCAGGCCGACCGCAAGCTCCAGTCCGGAAAATTCTCACTTCTCTCAGAAGCTTCTCTCCAGTTGCACTGAAGCTGCACTGGAGCATCACATGTTTCTCCTATTTTAGACAGGCAAAAAGAGTGATGTGGAGGGGCTTCAGTTTTTCAGATTTTTCGAATTTCATAATTTTTAGCGATCTGTTTACTTGGAAAAATAGCCAATTGGGGCCAATCGGCCTGTTGGCGTTAGAGTTCACCGCATGCTGCTCATGACAAGAAAGAGAAGCCGTTTATTGCGGAAATTGTTATGCATTAAAAGTGTTGCAAGAATTTTAGAATTTGTCTATAAATTTTTACGCTTGCGCCGCAAGCGTAGCATACATAGACGCTACGCCACTGAATTTTAGATTAGTAGAAGTTAAAGATCACAAGAGAAAGAAGCAAGACGTGGAGTAGCAGAAATCAGAGAAGTTAAAGTTAGAGCTTTGTTCATGTTGCTGAACTGGTTGTTTTTTTCGTGTCGTCCTCTGTCGCTGAGTTGAGAGGTCGTAAGTTTATTTTATGATTTATCTTCCTTTAACATTTACAGTTAAACCCTATGGCAAAAGTGTGGTTTAACAGATGGTCTGTGACGCAGGCTAAGGCTGCCAAGTCCAAGGTTGGTTCGAGTCACTGACAATACCAGACTTCCTCTTAATGTGAGGAGAGTCGCTAGCTTTCTGTTATTCCTGGTGTCCAAGAACCCTAATCCACACAGGCTTCTTTGCCAAATCTTTATATAATGAAAAAGCTCATAAGTTAAATGTAGAAAGAGTTTTTCTCTTAGTTCGCCGATGCTTGTTGCTATTACTACAAAATTGCAGTAATGAAAAAATGATTGACACTCGATTCAAGCAAGGAGATCTTTATTTAAAAGAAAGAGCAAGCAAATGAATGAATGAATGAATGAATGAATGAATGAATGAATGAATGAATGAATGAATGAATGAATGAATGAATGAATGAATGAATGAATAAATGAACAAATAAGTGAATGAATGAATGAACGAGCAAATAAGTGAATGAATGAATGAATGAAAATATGAATGAATGAATGAATGAATGAATGTATGAGCGAGCAAATAAGTGAATGAATGAATGAATGAATGAATGAATGAATTAATGAATGAATGAATGAATGAATGAATGAATGAATGAATGAATGAATGAATGAATGAATGAATGAATGAATGAATGAATGAATGAATGAATGAATGAATGAATTAATGAATGAATGAATGAATGAATGAATGAATGAATGAATGAATGAATGAATGAATGAATGAATGAATGAATGAATGAATGAATGAATGAACAAATAAGTGAATGAATGAATGAATGAATGATATGAGTACTATGTTTAATATGAACGAGAAAATAAATGAAAACTTTCTCAAGGCAAGGAGAGTTTTATTTCAAGCAAAAGAATGAACAAATGAACGAATGGATGAATGAATTAATGAATGCACGTCCGAACGACTGAATAAAGGAATGAATTGCTATATGATTGATTGGGTGAATAAATGGATGTATGAAGGATTTAATGCATTAATGTACGAGTGAATGAGTGCATAAACACATGAACGAACTATGTCAGAAATATATAAACATGTGTAAATAATATGAATAATAGATTGTAAGTCACCATTGTTAATTTGCAAATTAACTAACTTTTCTATTCTTAATATAATACCAGTGGAATTGAGAAGATACGATAATACAATCAATATTCAGTGTGAAAGAAGTAAGTTTTTTTCAAGCGATATTTAAGTTACTGTAACAAGTCATCCCTATTTTTCTATTTAATTGGAAATCTAAAGGATGGCTGGAACAGTTGTCAAAAAATGCCCTGCTTTCCTAATAAAAGCGTGTTTAACCGGAAGAACAAATGGTTTACAGGAGTTTACAGAAGCTAAAAACAGCAATATCAATCACAGTTACAATGACGTCATTGCGAGGCCCATGTTTCTTTGTCCCAGGCCCCAGATAAGCTCTCAGTGGACCTGTGAGCAGGACATGTCACTTATAAACATTTCATCTTCATAATGGAAGTGCGACAGTGACACATTGATTGAACAAAAAAATGTTTTTTGACTGAAATGACACATCTTAAGAAGGCTAAAAGAGGCACCATATTCCCTGTAAAAATGCCTAGCAATGAAATGGCAAACTGCAGCAACCTGGAAGAGTTGCGATAGCTACAGCTTCATGATTATAAAGCTTTTTTAATTGCAACCTGTATGCTTTTCATTAAACCTAAAAAAATATCATAAATGAATAATGAAATTAGCTTGTTTCGCTGATAACTCAACAAGGCTTGTCGTTTTTAGCAATATGAGAGACGAACTTCGTTATTAAAAATAAGTTAATGAGAACATGAATGTTTTGGTAACGTGAGATTTAACGAACATCGGCAAATGTGTTATCTTAGAGCGACATCCTGTGACCATAACTGTGTGAATGCAGCGTCTGGGAAATAGATATCAATAAAAAACGGTCAATGTTGTTTAGTAGTTTAACAATCGGGCTGTGAAAACGCTGTTATGAAAAATTCTTAGTCAATAGAAAGTAATTTTGCAAAAGAAATTTGACTTCCACAAAGCAAACGTACAAGTTTTTCAAAGTCCTGGACAATATTATTCAAAATTTTACACTTATATGTTAAACAACTTGCGCTACGATCAGTACTTGACTTTGTTCGGATCAAAATAGTCAAATAAAGTGACCATCAGAGCCCAGAAAACTCTTCACGCTTTCTCCAGCCAACGAGAAAATAGAGTACCGAAGTGATGACGTCATAAAAATATATTTTAAGATTTTCTTTAAAGAATGATGGAATTAGGGCTTGATTTTTGACAGGGCGAAAAAATAGATTTGATTTCATTGGCACTCCTCCAACGGACGTGTGACCGTCAATTTTCCGGACGCAGCTGAAC